GTTGGAGATGAAGACTTGGTGAGTCCTCATAGATTCGAGGACAATACCCAATATGTTCTTTTATGTCTTTTTAGTATTGTTTAAGTTGTGTACGGGATTAGTCCCGAATTTTGTACTCTAAAGTATTAGATGGTTTTGAGACATCATGTATAAAGTCTAGAAAGTCTTCCGCTTGCTATTTTTTTTATGCAATGTTTTCTTGGTAAAGAAAGTTTTAAATTCCTTATGGTTTTAGTGTCTATGCAATGAATGAATGCTAAGAGGCTTGTATTAGACCTCTTCGAGGTCGAGTACGCTGGTTACGACTAGGGAGTGCTCCCGGGTCGTGACAGAGTCCCTATGTGGGCTGCCTACGTATCCACCAAGGAAATCAGGTCAAACGTAGTTCGCCTTACATAAAAAGGAATTTAAAACATACAAATAAATGATCACTTAAAGCTCACACCCTTTAGGTGCCCTATTAGGAGGCCCATATTGCTTAATAAAATCTTTGGCCATATTGACCCAAGAGAACCATTTCCTTGTGTCCTGGTTTGCATACCACATCAAGGCTGACCCTGTAAGCGTCCTAACAAAAAGTATCATATTAAATTCATTGCCTTGCCCTATGCTTGCTAACCAATCAAGATATGCCTTCAAGTGGTTCTGAGGAAGACCTATCACATCATACATTGGAATATCAACGAGATTATAAGGTATCTCGTTTTCACTTTCCATCTCAACCAAATTTGTCCCAAGTTGTGAAGCATGCTCATTTGTGAAGGAAATTTGGTTAGTCTCGGTATTAAAATGTCTTTCACCATTTTCTCCATCTTTGCTTGTTTCACTCAAATTCCCAAATGCCTCATTCTGTGAAAATGGATGCATGTTAGAAAAGTATTGAGCATTACAATCAAAGTTGGAATACGCAGTTGCACGAATAGGAGAGTATCCTTTTAGATCTTCATCGGAGGAGTACCTAAGGTCGTAATCCAATGAATTTTCATAAGAAGAGTTCTTAAGATCGGCTATCATTTCCTTGATGCCATCAGTTTCTTGTTCCATTTTTGCCACTTTTCCCTCAAGCTTAGCAATTTTATCTTGGTATGACTCAGCTTCTTCACAGTTAAACTCGTCTTCAACTAAGTCAATCACAATTCGATCGGCCATGTTTTTCTTGAGTTTGTTAGTCCCTTTGATGCTCAACTTAAGTCAACCTTTGGAAGAAAAATAAAATATTTGGTAAGTGCGGAATAAGTATGCGAAAGGTCAAGAGTAGACCATTTAAAAACCAACGGGATCTAGTCCTATAAGGGATACCATTTAAGAAAATAAATAAATAAATAATAAAACAAATTTGATGAAAAAGCTCGAGATTAAGAAAATTAAGGTTAATCGAGCGCACGAGAGTTGAAATTGATAAATTGGAAGGTTGAATGACCTTAAGCTATATTTTAGTATTTGGCGGATTTAAAATTGTCAAGGGTGGAGAAAATGTCAAACAATTGAAAGACCTATGAGATTCCCTCGACTTGCTTGCCGATACTTGGAAATAGTGCGTAAAAAGTGGTGCGACTATCTTGAATTGAAGAAGCATTGCATTTGATGTAGAAAAATTGAACAACTATCGACAAGTGATATTTGGTAGATTGCACGAATCTACCAATTTAAGGAGCAACAAATGATGTCAAAATTGAAAGAAATTGAAAGCAAAAGTAAAAGCTCCATAATGTAGATCGAATGCCAAATAGATTCTACGAAATGCGGAACTAGTGAAAAAAAGGCTTTTATCGCTAGAAAGATAGGATTATTCCTGTAAAAGCTTGAGAAGGTAAAGATTTATAAGAGTAATTTTGGCACGAGTCTATAAAAATTTGGAATGTTAACGGACAAAAAATATCACACCTAATTTGAACAATTATGCCAATTTTGAAAAGTAAGAGGAAAATTCTTAAAGCAAATCGCGGATACAAATATTGAGAAGATCAAAGCAAGGAAATCAACATTTTTTAAAATTTTGAAGGAAGAAAGTGAGTTTTTGTAAAATATTACCTAAGAAAATTTTTAAACAATGGCATTTAAAATTTGCGCAAGCCTAGGATGATTATGAGCCTAATCGATGCTTTAGAATTATAAAAAATGCACTGAACGCATAAATATTAATATAATATTAAATAATTTATGAACACGACATAAGAATCTGTAAAAAATGCAACATGTATCAATTAAAGAATATGATAAAGGCAAAATAATTTCTCTTTCTGAAAAATAAGAAACACAAAGATGACGTTAGTAATAATCAATTAAATCATGTTGCAAATAAATGCATAAGTCACGTAGCAAGTAAGCAAACAAATATTTATAAAGCACGTTACACAAGTATATCAAACAATGCATCCTAATATATAAGGGACCTCTTTATGCCAGAGGTAGGCCTAAGTCGTATTTGAAAAATAAATGTGTCAAAATATGTCATTCCATTGCTCTTTAATTAATTAAACGAATCTATTCCCAAAATTAAATACCAAAATAGCTTTAAACTTTAATACAAGTCAAAAAGGAATAAAAATAAAGTTCTTCATTGCATCTACGCATCTTCTTCTCATGGCATGTTCGTGGTTTAATCTCCATAGGTCAAAACTTGCGATCTTCATAGCTATCTGCATCACAAAATATTATTAACTCCCTTCCTTCTAAGTTTAATTAATTTAGAACCAACGGTCCATATTTTGGCACAACTATTTTTCAAATAATGCACACATAAATGATAAGAGTCACTCGGGATCTTGAACCCACTTGGACATTTGGATAAAATTGACTAATGAACTTAATACACCAAAGATATTAAGCCTCTTAGGTTTATATGATGCATGTACCGTAAAAGGTGTTGGTTTAGCTCTATCCTGGGTTGATTAAAAGTGGGTTTACTAGACACAAGGTTCCCGAGTGATCAACTCGAGTGAGAAGGCTACGCGGTCACACAGAAAAAGATCCGAACACCCCGCGCATATGCCAACTCTCCTAAATTTTGAGATTTATAATAAAAAATTGCGGGTGCGCAAAACACACTTCGCGTGTACGTGTGATAGTGAGAATTTTCTAGAATCGGAAGAAGTATGAACGGAATGACAATTTATATAAAGAAATAACAAATAAACAATTTATATAAAACAGTAACAAATAGCCAGTTAATATCACATAAGCATGATAAGTAAATCATTTAGGCATTTGAAATAAAACAAACATAAAAAATGAAACAAGCAAATGTTAAAAAAACATAATTATTAATCTAAGTCTGTTATGGTTTAGAACCTAAAGTCCCAAGTGAAAACGCCAAGATGTTATACCGCATTTTAACTCGAGGTCAAAACGTGTACAATATATTGGTGATTTCCAAATTATTAACTAACTTAAGAAGTCGCCACCTAATTAATTACGGTGAATTAGGACACCTAAATATTTAACCAAGTAAAACTAAAAATGACTTCAATTAAGGTCCACTAACTTGTATGATTCTAGGTAATGGTTCTAATTTATTCTAAAGGGAAGGGGTAAGGCATCATTTAAGATCAATAAAAAGCAGTTAACCGACCAAACTTAGGTTAAAAAATATAAAGCTAAAATTGAGCACTAAAGATTTCAAAAAGTCAAGTAGTTAAGTGAGAAAAATATTTTTAATTTGAAATTAATGGTCAAACTCAAGTAAATTAAAATTAAAGCATTTGATTAGAAAATATAGCATTGAAAATACTTCATTGTATATAAAAAATGAGCTAAATTGTAATTGCTAAAATTAAGAGGAGTTTCATGCTTATGCACTATCTACGTAAGATTGGTAAAGCAACACTCGCACTCATATAACAAATCTATTTAAATTATACATGCCTTTTAGATTTAACAAAATTACATTTTGTAAAATCAGTAGTAAAAAAAAAATAAAAAATACTATAACTTTAGACAAAGATCACGATTTATTTAAAGAAAAAAAAGGATCAGAAACTTCATTTTTATTTGAAAATATGCTCCGAGTCCTTGTTAATTTCTAAACATACTATTAAGGTTAGAAGATTGAACAACTCTTACATTAAATTGAAAGAAACCCATATTGCTTTTACTAGTTTTTATATTTTAAACATTTGCCTTGTATTTAGGAAAGCCGATTGATTTTAAGAGAAAAATTAAAGACTTATTCAAATAAAATAAAATAAAATAAAATAAAGGAAAATTAAACAACTAAAAAAAAAAAAGAAACTCTTTTGGAATCATCCCAATCACCCCATCTAAAGGCATAGATATTCTAAAGTAGTAATCTAAAGATAAATTAAATAAGCAATTGCACAAAATAATATCAAACATAAGACAAGCAAAACACAACAATCATTTAGAGCAAAATATAACACAAAACCACTAAAATATAATAGAGTATTTTTTGCATTTCCTCATTGTCTCACTCATATGAGTTTTGAGGAAGCAAGTGACGCAACGTGATGAAATGGGTGCACATTTTCATAGTCTAGCGATGGAATGAGACTATACGGCAGTGAGAGTCTTTCATGAAGACTCCATTTAGCTCCTGAAGTGTTCATGCAAATAAAAAGAAAGGAAAGAAATTAGTACGAGCCGACTTTAATCAATAGAGAATAAACCAAACATGAAGCCAATAAAAGTCATACAACAAAGATACTATCCGAAATGAAAAATATGCAAGCACGAAAAACTTTGAACCAAACTAGAAGCAAGCATATACATGTCCTCCAGGCACAAAAATAACTCCCAACTTCAACAGGTTTAAACTACAACACAACTATTTTTCAAACCAAGATCATTTGACTTGATTTTTTTTACATAGATTATACTAAATATTTAGAATTAAAAAAAAAAGAACTAAAAATAAACTCATTTAACTCTATTTACAGAATAGAAGAGAGGCTTCAACAAGCAATAAAAAAAAAGCTTAAACTAAAGTTAATATGTTAATATAGATATAGAGTAGAGTTGTGGGCAGTGAGCATAGTGATTTCTTCCCAGAAAACCAATGAGCAAACACTAGTCAAACCATTTGCAGAATGAAGGCATGAGGTAAATTTAAATCAAAACAAAACTGATTCAAAATGATAAGTATGTATAAAATGAAACCATTCCTTGAGTATAGGATGACTAACGTGAAAGGAATATAACTTCAGATTTGTATGAGTCTCGAGCAAATCCAATTTTAAACATTAGTTTTATGTAATAACTAAGCAAAGCTGAAACTGTTCATAATACATGACCTTTCCAAAAATAGACAGAAACAGAGAAACATACAAAGCGAATATCACCTGTTGCGGGGCAGCGAACAGGGTGCTTCGATCACAAGTCTACACTCGAACAGAGATGAGTTTAAACACACTCAAAACTAGAATCCCGACGGAGATCGAAAGAGAGTGAAAAGATGAAATCTTTTAGAGCAAATATTAATGCTTATGAGAGTATCAGCGGCTGCCAAAACTTGTCCAAAATAGACACTTTCTCCTAATACTTATAGGATGGAATTAGGGTTCTTGATTTGGGCGGGATTTCTTTAAAGTCGAGTCAAAAGAGCCGTTTGAATTTTGAACGTTTTAGGTAAACTCTCTCTTCACGTGATTGACAAGATAGTAGCATGAAAATGGAGTACTCAACCTCTGTGCATAGTTGACAAAACTTGTTGCTTTTCTGAAAATGGAGGGAAGAAAGGTGTGGTGCAGATGTAGCTGCTGAAGGGTTGTGAAACCCTTACTGATTTAAAACATAAAGGGCATTTTGGGAAGTTAAGACAGGTTTAGGGCTGAATTTGGCTGTAGACTTTTTGGGCTTAGCTCTTGGGCTGCTACGTTTTAGAAGGCTTTAGGCAGACTTGGCAGCCCAATTGGTCTTGTTCCTTCTTTAAAATAATTCTTTTGAGCTTCTAATTTAATAACTAGCATAATATATAATTAATATTAATTTTCGCTAATGATTTAGAAAAATATTACTAATTTATAACTAATTAATTAAGTATGAACTTTGAAATATGATAACGATGATAGAAAGTTTAAAAAAAATAATTTTATACTAATTCTAAAAGGAATGACAATCATAAAACAAATAATATGAATAATAAAATAGTAATAGTAGTAAGTCGTAAGTATTATAGGAATTAATGGTAAACATATTTATTAACTTAGAAGCTCAAAAAAAAAAAAATTGAAGAAAGGAGGGTCAAAATTAGGTGTCAACATAATATTTATAGCATTTTAGAACATTTATACCCTCGTAGTTAGCCTGCATATTTTATTTATCAAGAGAACACTTATTTACTACAAATAGTCACAACAATTTCAGCCTTCATGTTTCTTCGGTCATTAATCAAAATCATTCACTTCTTATAAATTCTTGGGGATTTCTTTTATGCGATAATTTGAGATCATTAAAAAATTTCATAAATGATTAATCCCCAATCCGTTGATAAGGTTCACCGAAGTTCATAGCATGAAAATTTATGTATTTGCTTTCTATTAAATAAGAAAAAAAAAAGAACCGAGAAATGTGCAATTAAGAGTGCTTTCATTCACACACAAAACTTCTACATATCACCAGAGTTCTCATTTTTTATTTTTTTTTTGTTTTGTTTCTTCAATTAATTTCTTTTGTGTTTTCATTGGAGAAGGAATTTTATAATTAGTGTTCACATAATGAGTGAATAGTGACGAATACACACATTGTGAATTATTTTTTCTGATAAAATTAATAGATCAAGTTGTGGTAGAGAAAATAATAATAAATAAATACCAAAAAGGCACATAATCTTCTCTTTTTTTTCATTTTTTATTTTTTTACCCTCAAATGAAGGAGATTCTTCCTAATTTTTCTAAAATAACAGGCATCAATGTAGTCCATTGAATTATTACTTTTGATGTTAAATTCACTATTTCAAAAATAGATTTTCACTTTTACTTATAATATGATAATATAGTCATGATAATAAATTTATTTTAATAGATATGTAAGTAAAATGAATGGAGAAAGTAAAGTATTGTTGGAAAGATATTTCAATCAAATGGAACACTAGAGTAATATAGCATGAACATATATTTTCGTCTTCCTTCTTCATTGGCTATGAATTGTGTTCCATATATTATTTATTTTTTATATGTATTTATATTGACTATAATATTTTTAAGTATGAATTTCCTGTTATTTTGTGTTCATTTTAATCTAGGAAAATGTTATGTCACAAGATACACTCCTTGCTAGCTATATAAAAATAGATAAGAACATAGTGATTGATCATAAAATGATCTTAAATAAAATTAAAGATTCTATACATAATACTTTACATTTTATTCATCTTTCAGTTTTTTTATTGAAAAAGTTTATTGTTTTATATCACGATACAACTTTTATAATATACCAGATACTTTTATTAGACAACAACTATATGATATGTATGCAGCACAAAAAAGGAGAAGACTACAATTTCGCAAAGATATATTAGAACTTAAAGAAATGAAATATTTTTCACCATAGGTTACGTTGTTCATATATTAACATTAAATTATGCTACTAATATATATATATATACTAGTTTCTGAACATGTGCTCTGCACGTGTATCCCATGCATTGATACACAATTTTTAAAGTAATATAAGCAATACTAATATTGGTAAATAATAAGTTACACAAAATTTCATTTGAAACATACAAGCTCAGACATGATAGTAAATACAGTTTGAGTTTGTCAAATAACATAACTAAATTTAGCTAGACAATTAAGCATGATGTGTACATATACCACAAGCCAATAAAAATGTGATGCATGTATAATTTTGGTCCATCCATTCGTATAGCATATTTATTTCATATATTTGACACATTAATCTATAATTACCAATAAATATAAATTTACTTATTGTGGGATTCAATCCCTAATGAATCTCACTGTTTAAAAGAGAAATAGAAAATTGCAAACCACAACAAAGACATATTTGAATAGAAAAATCAAAATATTTTAGTATGTCAATACTCATGCATCTTGATTGAAGCTATGCAACGTCATAACAATTTAAAGGCTTGATGGCAACAATCTTTCTCGATCGACTCATGTCAAAAAAATAGATTGAATCTTTACTCTCATAAATTTTTCTACTTCAAAGGCATCAAATTTGTAA